CTGCTTTAATCGCGACGCCGCGCCCGCCATCTCTGAGAAGAGCGCGCCTCTGTCAGCTCTCAGCTGGTTCTGTACATCTGGGGACAGTTCGGATGGACCGCCGCTCCGCCGAACCTGAGTGAAGCACGTGTCTGTCAGCTCTCAGTCGGCTCCGTACATCCGAAGACAGTTCGGATGGACCGTCGCTCCGCCGGACCTGAGTGAAGCACGTGTCTGTCAGCTCTCAGTCGGCTCCGTACATCCAGGGACAGTTCGGATGGATGCCGCTCCACCGGACTTGGCCTCCCCGAGAGGAGCACGTGTCTGTCAGCTCTCAGTCGGTTCCGTAACCCGGCGACAGCTCGGATGGATCGCCGCTCCGCCGGACCTGGCTCTTGTGCGGCTCAGTAATCAGGCCGATGCAGCGCTGCACCATCCAATTTTCTCTGATGGCGCAGCGAGGCGGGCGTGGTCGAGGCCCATCGTTCGGCGAAAACAAGACTGTCGTGCCCGCATCGCCGCGACCGACAGCATATTACCTCCTCCCGACGCGCCGGCCGTGCGCTATTGACCACTTCACGTCCGGTGATTTCCATCGACGATATGCTAATTTATTTAGATCGGGCGGCGTTTCTGCCAGCGGCGTATCTGATCGCGCCGGCCCGGCATGAAACGTGTTTGGATCGCGGCTGAATCCGCGTCCGATCTCCTCCCGAATCACCTGGGGATGATGTCCAGCTGGGCCCGGCCGCAGTCAGCTGATCTCGCCCGTCAGCTGATTACCGACCGGCCGGCCGGCCCCCGCAGCGGGGCTATTGATCACGGCCGCCGCCACCGACGCATGCAAAGGCGCGTCTGCTTTACGGGCGGCGCCTGGCTGGGCAGCCGGCGCCCGTTCGTGTCTGAATGGTCGCACCGCCGGTGCCGGCGTGGCCTCCCGGCCGCTGCGTGGCGGCGCTCTGCGTCGCCGGAGCCTGCACCGGCCTGTGCAGCGTGCAGACGCCGGCACCGCCGCCGCCGCCGCCGGGGAGCCGGAGCGGCACACGTGGCGACGATGACCCCGCCGACCCCGCCCCGGGCGTCGCTAGAGGGCGCCGCGCCTCGTCAGCCGCAGAGGTGGCGTCACGCCGACTCGTGACGCCCTCGGGGCCGTGACGCCGGGCTCGTGACGGCGACGGACGGTCACTCTCGGCGCGCCGCGCGCCGGACGTGGCGGCCCAGGCGCCGCCTCCGGCACAGGTGTTCCACCTCAGGCCGAGCGACGGCAGTCGACTGCCGTTGTCTGCCACGGGACCGCCTGCAATAGCTGTGCGAGATGAGACCGCCCTGCAATAGCTGTGCGAGGCGGGACCGCTCTGCAACGACTGTGCGAGACGTCGAGAAAGTTGCTTAGGTCGCTGGGAAACTACCGGGCCATAGGCATAGGCAAGTTATTTCTTTTCATTTTGGCCTGTAGGCGCACTAAAATACACGATCACTTTGCATCGCTATTGTTGACATCATAGGGCAAATGTAATGAATACAGGTTCACTTAAATTGAAGTTCATTCGAAGGTATTCTCGGTGCTCTCTCTCTCTCTCTCTCTCTCTCTCTCTCTCTCTCTCTCTCTCTCTCTCTCTCTCTCTCTCTCTCTCTCTCTCTCTCTCTCTCTCTCTCTCTCTCTCTCTCTCCTCTCTCTCTCTCTCTCTCTCTCTCTCTCTCTCTCTCTCTCTCTCTCTCTCTCTCTCTCTCTCTCTCTCTCTCTCTCTCTCTCTCTCTCTCTCTCTCTCTCTCTCTCTCTCTCTCTCTCTCTCTCTCTCTCTCTCTCTCTCTCTCTCTCTCTCTCTCTCTCTCTCTCTCTCTCTCTCTCTCTCTCTCTCTCTCTCTCTCTCTCTCTCTCTCTCTCTCTCTCTCTCTCTCTCTCTCTCTCTCTCTCTCTCTCTCTCTCTCTCTCTCTCTCTCTCTCTCTCTCTCTCTCTCTCTCTCTCTCTCTCTCTCTTCTCTCTCTCTCTCCTCTCTCTCTCTCTCTCTCTCTCTCTCTCTCTCTCTCTCTCTCTCCTCTCTCTCTCTCTCTCTCTCTCTCTCTCTCTCTCTCTCTCTCTCTCTCTCTCTTCTCTCTCTCTCTCCTCTCTCTCTCTCTCTCTCTCTCTCTCTCTCTCTCTCTCTCTCTCTCTCTCTCTCTCTCTCTCTCTCTCTCTCTCTCTCTCTCCATATCTCTCTCCCTCTCTCTCCACGATGCCCGGCGGTCACGTAAGGCATCCGCACGTGCGCCGAAGTCCCTCTCGAGACACCGAGTAGCTTGTCGGAGCCATGGCCGCCACGCCGGGCCCTGGGTTGTCCTGCTCGGGTGGGCGGCGCGACGTGTCCGGCACTGCGCACCTGGTGCCGCCGCCGGCACCGCCCCGCCCAGCCGGATCAATGGCCGAGGTGCCGAGGTGGTGCTGAAACTAGGTGCCGCTCCCCTGAAGAGGGGATCGATGCGCATGTCGCGCCGTGCGGGCGCCAGACTCCCCGGGGCGGTGCATGGGGGAGGGGGGGGGGGGGGGCGCAATCACCCCCGAACGCTGAGCTGCCCGGCGCGGGGTAGTTACCAGCTGCCTTGGCACCGCTGTTTTGCATGCAATGTGGGGTGCATTACCGGACGGAACTTTTAGTAGTGAGTGCGTGGCAAGAAACTGCGTGATCGTGTCGCAATGGCCACGAAAATACTGCGTTGCCAAACGTGCTTTGTTGGAGCTCAACAGCTAATCATGGCGAAAACCGCGCCTGATGTGCAGTCGGCGTGACAGCAAACCTGAACACACACCACACACTACACAGGTGCCCTTTGGTTGCCACCAATGGACGCGGTGTGGGCCGACCCAGAATAGAACGGCCGATATTCTTCAGAACACGCCCAAGGTCTATCGAATTGACTGACACGAGGGCGTGAGCGATACTCTTAAAATTGTGCCGGGAAATGGCATGACGCATCGAGATGTCCCAGTTGCATTAATTTGAATGGCTAGATATTCAGATTTTATAGGCGTGGTGACGATGTCCCATTTGGCACGCCTTCACTTGACGTGCATGATTTTATTGTGGGCACCATCCATACAGGCATGGCTGAAAGATATTACAGGGATGGATAAAGGGGGGGGGGGGGAGGAAGTTAAAATAGTTTGTCGTGCGTGAAGCGTGCCGAACGTCGGACTGATAAGACTCCTACTGCACCTCGTTTCAGCGCCACCACTCAGGTTCCACCGGTTAGAGGTCTGGCCGTTTTTACAGCTCGTCCTTGGAAGCGGCACCGGTGCCCGTTATGGCTGTTTTGACTGGGTGGCGTCTGCCGGAGACGGAGCGGGCCCTCTAATTTATCGCCCCCGCTCTGTCCGAGCGGGAGGTCCGGCTCCGCACGCAGTGAGGGTCCGGGAGGTACCGTACATCACGTGCAGTGAATGGTTTCTCCTCTGGAGACCTCCCGTTCCCCACACACGGCGAACGGCAGGCACCTCAGCTGGGAAGATACTGTACTCGATGCGCGGCGAGACGTTCCTTTGCAGAGGAGGTGCCGTGCCACGAACGTAGCAGGCTTCTCCCCTGCCGAGGAGGTTACACCGTGCCTCGCGGTCAGCAGGCGGTCAACAGAGGTCAACAGAGGTCAGCAGAGGTCAACCGCCGGCGCGCACATGACTTCTGTGCCGGAGGGGAAGTGCCAGACTTCATGCATATCGAGTGGTTCACCGCTGGGGACGTGACGTGCCTCATGCACAGTGAGCACTCCCTCCGCCGGAGATACCGCAGCCACTGAGCGCGTCGGACGACTCTGCTGAAGAGGCACCAGGCTTCCTACAAATCGTGAGGCGCAGATTCCGGCAAATGTATTTTCCGGGGCTGGATGCCAGTGAGAGCGCAGTGACCTGTCGTGATGCCCCGCGAGCATTAAAGGTCCCTCACACCCTAAATTGTTGCAATGCAATTAAGTGGAGTGCTGAGTTTGTGCTGGCCGCAGCAGACGATGGAGAACTACTTCCAGCTCAGCGAGCGGAGGGTGTTGGCTTGCCGGCGGGGGCCTCCGCGGCAGGTGCTGCTGGCTGAGCTCGCTGCCGCGTCGAGATGGTCCACGACGGGTTTTTCAGCGTCATTGTGCTGTTGGCTGAATGGGGAGGCATCTGTCACCAGTCGAGACAGATGAACAGCTCGGTTCCACGCAGCGAGCCCCGTTTAGGGCGACTCTCACCCCCGTCTACTATTCAGCGCTCATGTCAACCACTCGATCAAATCACCGCGAAAGTCGTTTGTCATTAAACCCCGGCTTGCCCACCGCCGAGTGGTGGGATTCCAGGGGTGGCACACCTGCCGCCGCCGCCGGGGCACCAGATGCCGCGTCGGGCTGCGGCCGCGGCGTGGGCGGGATTCCAGGGGTGCTGCACCTGTCGTCGCCTGCTCGGGCTCGCCAGATGTGCCTGCCGCCGCTCGTGACGCTCGTCCTGACTTACTTAATTACCTCGACCGTCACGGCTGGCCACGCCGGGCTGGCGCCGCGCTCCGGGCGCGTGGGCCGGCGCTCCCGCCGCTCTGGAGGCTCCCGCCGCTTGTTTTCCACACGACCGCCGCCCTGCCGCCGCCGCCACCGCAGCAGCAGCAGCCGCCGCCGCCGCCGGGCGGTCTCGGCGCGGCCGGCTGTGCGTGGGCCGCTCTGTGCGTTTCCAGAGCGTGCCGATGCGAGGGGGAGGGGCGGCCGAGCGAGGCGCACCAGTCGACCCAGGCCGGCCCTGACCCGCTTCTGACGTCTGCTGACCCGACTCTTTGCCCTGTCTGACCTGGCCCGGGGCTCGCGCTGACCTGGCCCTGGGCTCGCGCTGACCTGGCCGTGGGCCCGCGCTGGCCTGGCCCTAGGCCCCCGCTGTCACGGCCCTGGGTCCAGCGGTAATCCAGACCTGGGTGTCTGCTGATCCGGCGTGGACCCCTTCAACCTGGCGCGAATCAAGACCCCTGCTGACCCAACCCTGGCCCCTGCTGACCTGGGCCAGGACAATGCTGACCCAGCGCCGGGCCCGCAGGCGGCGACATGATGCGTCGGCAGCGCTGCAGGAGTTGGGGCACGCTGCTGGACGCGCCCGAGGAGCGCGAGCGGCCGCCGGAGACCGAAGTCGAGTACGTGCGCTACCTGCAGCAGAAGATCGCCGACGCCCAGGAGCGCCACCTGCTGCCGCTCAAGGAAGACGTCACCGACTGGCTGAACGCCACGCTGGGTAAGTGGGTCCAGCAGCCAGCTAGCGCCGCGTCGCCCGCTGTGACCGTGTGTATGACCGGGCGAGCGGCCGACGGAAGCGGGCCGTCGCTGTGCGCGCGGTCACTCGGGTCTGACCGGGAGGCGAGAGGCGAGGCGGCGCGGCTGTTCTGAGATGGAGAGGGAGCGGGCGGGCTGGGGCCGCCGGGTCACACGGCCCCGGCGGCAGCGTCCATCAGAGCCGCACTGCGGGGGCGGACGCCGATGGAGGCGGCCCGGACACTCCCCTTACGAGACGCAAGGTTACGAGCCATCGATCAAGCGCCACGGCTTGACCTAGAAATCGCCGATCGCAAACGGGCTCCGCTCAACACGCAACGTCGCACATGGCGTTTGAAAACATGGTGCGGATTTCGTCCTTTCCGTTGAAAATCATTGTTTTGTCAGTTCCGTTTGAATTAATACAATGGGAACGGTCTTATTAAACGGCTTACACCATCACGAACGTCAATTTTGATGCAACGATCGGTGTATTGCGCACGTAACGGAATAATCCAGTCACGATCACATCATACCTCCAACATGGATCCTACCCCCTCGCCTTTTTCCCCGGTGGCTCGTACTGCACAGCACCATATATGTTACATCGTCTCTCAGAAACGGCACGATTGTTGACGGCTGAGCGGTTCGCCCGGCGCAGGTCAGCCCCAGCCGCACTCCGTGAGCGGTCGCGGCGCCGCGGAGCGCAGCCGCCCGCCCCTCTCACACAGATAGGTCGGGCGCCCGTCGCAGCTCAGCCCGGCGCGGCTCAGCCCCAGTCGCACACCGTGAGCGGTCGCGGCGCCGCGGAGCGCAGCCGCGCGCCCCTCTCACACAGATAGGTCGGGCGCCCGTCGCAGCTCAGCCCGGCGCAGCTCAGCCCCAGCCGCACACCGTGAGCGGTCGCGGCGCCACGGAGCCCAGCCGCGCGCCCCTCTCGCACAGATAGGTCGGGCGCCCGTCGCAGCTCAGCCCGGCGCAGCTCAGCCCCAGCCGCACACTGTGAGCGGTCGCGGCACCGCGGAGCCCAGCCGCGCGCCCCTCTCGCACAGATAGGTCGGGCGCCCGTCGCAGCTCAGCCCGGCGCAGCTCAGCCCCAGCCGCACACCGTGAGCGGTCGCGGCGCCGCGGAGCCCAGCCGCGCGCCCCTCTCACACAGATAGGTCGGGCGCCCGTCGCGGCGGCCATTGTTCCCCGCGCAGCCGTGGACGTTCTTCGCCTGATCATCTGGCGCACGCACGGGACGCCCTACCACGACCGTCCCAGAAACGCAGGGGGAATGCGACGGTCGCCTAAAAACCGTCCGACTTCCGGCCGGCGCGCGCTACCAATCGCACCTGGCCGCCGGAAACGTCTCCGGGCGGGACAGTCGACCCGTTATCCGGCCCCGGCGCTCGTTCTGCGGCGCGCTCCCCGGCTCACCGCCTGCTCCTGAGCCATTGTACTGCGGGCGACGGCCGGCGGCACGCGCACGGCCCGAGGACCGCCAGCCGTGATATGCTCGGCAGCGCTGGGGGCGCGAGCTGCTAATAGGACCGTTGGGGCGGCCAGTCTCGTCAGCTCCGAGGTTCGGAGGAGGCCGGGGCCTGACGCAGCGCCGCGCGCGGCTCGCTGCGTCCTGGTCGGCTTTCGCACGGTCCGCCCGAGCCTGGGATTGGGGGCCGCGCTCGCTCAGCGCTCCGTCAGCCAGTCGGCGCAGCCGGCCGCCGCTCGCCTGTCGTTCTCGGGCCGGCTGCCGGACTAGGCCGGACTGGACCTGACCGGGCTACATCGGATCAGACCAGACCACACCAGAACAGACTGGACCGGGCCATGCCAGACCGGACCGGATGAGACCATACCTGACCGGGCCAGACCAGACCGTAGCAGAACGGACCGAACCAGTCCAGACCAGACCAGACCACACCAGACCACACCAGACCAGACCAGGCTACAGACCAGATCAGACCAAACTAGACCGGATCGAACCGAGCAGGACCGGATACACCAGGCTGGACCAGGTCATATACCAGACCAGACCGGACCAGGTCATAGACCAGACCAGACCTGATGTGACCAGACCACATCATGCGTGACCGGACAGGACCGGACTGGACATCGCGCACTGGTTGGCAGATGGTCCGGAGCGATGGTCGCCCGTCGACGGCCCGCTCTCCGGATCATTGTCTAGGCGGCCGACGATTGTTTTAGTGTCTAAAGCATTGTGTCAGCGTACGCGACTGGAAAGCGGCGAGGAGCAGCGCGGCGCCGTGGCGCGCACGCGCACCCTCTGCTGGCGGCGGCCGCGCGGCTGCGGACCGGCACAATCACATCTAATGACCCGTGGCCAAAAACACGGCAATTACGGACCTTTCGATTGGGGTGGCGGTGGCGGCGTGGGGACGGCGCCCGACGTGCGAGCGCCGCGAAGTCGCCGCGGAACCGGCCGGCGGACCCCGGACCCCGGACCTAAGACCCCGGACCTAAGACCTCAGACCCCTGCCCCGGACCCCGGTCCTTATACATCGGACCTCGGACCCCGGACCCTGGATCTCGGACCCCGGACCCCGGACCTAAGACCCCGGACCTAAGACCTCAGACCCATGCCCCGGACCCCGGACCTCATATATGGGACCTCGGACCCCGGAACCCTGGATCCCGGACCCCGGACCCGGACCCCGGACCCCGGACCCCGGACCCCGGACCCCCGGACCCCAGACCCCAGACCCCAGACCCCAGACCCCAGACCCCGGACTTAAGACCCTAGACCCGCGCCCCAGACTCCGGGCCCCGGATCTAAGACCCCAGACCCGTGTCCCGAGGACCGGACCCCGGATCTCGGACCTCAGACCTCAGACCCCAGACCTCGGACCCGGACACCTGAGCCCGGAATCCCGACCTAAGACCTTAGGCCTCGGACCCCGGACCACAGACCTAAGACCTCAGACACTTGCCCCGGACCCCGGACCCTGGACCCCATACCTCGGACCTCATACCTCGGACTTCAGATCCCGGACCTCGGACCGCTCACCTCAGACCTCAGACCTCAGACCTCAGACCCGTGCCCCTGACCTCGGACCACGGGCCTAAGATCTCAGACCCCGGAGGGCGGAGGTCCGCCTTGCAGACCGTCATCAGGCAGGCGTCGGTTCGTCTGACGGCACGACACGCGCCGGTGAGGCGTGGCCGCCAGCTGAGTGCCGCCAGCACCTCGCCGGGGACCCACCGCCGCATTGTTGTGGCTGATTGCTCGTCATTCATCGGATACCGGAGCGGTAACGGGATGTCGGCAGTGACGCTCCCGTTGGACGCTCCCGGCAATCGGTTATTTCCTTCTCTCTGAATGGCATAATAGGCTGGGAAAGGGCGCGCCGGGTCTGGGGAGCAGCCGTTACAAAGGAGAGACAGGATAGAGCGGGCGGGAGGGGGACCGGGAAACAGATAATAGTCACGAGATCGCGCTGGATCGAATTAAGGACGATTTAACATATTCATGGGAGGAGTCTGCCTCGCATGCCTAATCTTCTTCGTTGACTTTTAAATTATTTAAAAATACCTCACAGTAAACATTCTTGAAGCGCTAACGCCATATGGCTATATTATTATTGATGATGCCGTCATCGTTCTGTTCAGACCGCCGAAGCTCCTTCAAACCATTCAAGCGTCCTCTGATGATTCGCTTGCTAGATGTTTGCGCGTTTCCGATCTTCTTCGACTACGACCCACACCACTTGTCGATTCATGTACACTGAAGCATGCATTACGCAACAGAGACGCATCCGTCGAATGTCTTCGCGGTCGGCGCCTGCTCTCCATCTGTCTCCCGTCGTTCTGGTCGCTCGGCCGCCGACGGGGTCGCGCCGCGCCATAACAAGTCGTGCGGCCGTCCGGAAGTGGCTTCCGTCCAAGCTGCGGCGCGGGGGAGGGTCCCATCATTACACGAGCCGCCTGGCTCCGGTGCCGCTCAGGAATCTGGCGGCCCGCGCCGCCGACAAGGTCGCTGGACCCGCGGCGGCCGGCTCGGCGCGCACGGCCGAGCGGCCCGACCGCGGCGCCGGCCGCGTGCGGTCACCTCCGCGCCGGCGAGCCGAGTCGCGTGTCGAGCTGCGCCGGTCACAGGGCGGGGCCGTGGGACAGCGCCGCCCGCCAGGGCCGGACTATGACGCACCGGTGTGGCTTGCTGCCCCCTGCTCCCCTGCTCCCCTGGACGCGGGTCCGGCGGTGTGCGATCGATTCCGGCGGGGGATTCCGATTCGGTCATGACGATCGATTCCGGCTGCGCGCCCGGAAAGCGACACCAGCGGGCCGCCACGGGCCGGCGGACGGCGCGGCGACCGTCGCCGGGGCACAGACATGGACCGCGGCGTCGGGTGAAAGGACAGACTGCGTGTCCGCGGCAGCGGCCCTGTGTCGATCTGCTGCCCCGGCCGGCGATCGGTGGGTCTCCGCGTGTCGTGCTGAGCGGCTGCTGACACCGGCCCTGAACGCCGTGTCATGCTGAGTGGTTGGACACCGGCCCTGAGCGCCGTGTCGTGCTGAGCGGCTGGACACCGACCCTGAGTGCCGTGTCGTGCTGAGCCGCTGGACACCGGCCCTGAGTGCCGTGTCGTGCTGAGCGGCTGGACACCGGCCCTGAGCGCCGCGTCACGCTGAGCCGCTGGACACCGGCCCTGACGCCGTGTCGTGCTGAGCGGCTGGACACCGGCCCTGAGCGCCGGGTCTAAACGCCCGTCGTGTCAAGCGACAGGGTCCGCCCCGTAGACTGACGGCTGACTGTGGCGGAGGTCGCGCGGTGAGTATGCGGACGAGGTGCGCTCACTCGAAGCGGACGGCCGGAGTGAACGCTCTGTTCGTTGCGCTCGGTGGGATGGCCGAAGGCCTGGGCGGCCAATCGGGGCGGACGACAGCAGGGGGACGTCGAGGCGGACAGTCCAAGTGGACTGCCGAAGCGAGCGCAGCAGAGTGCAGAGAGTTGAGCAGGAGGTCGAGGTGCACGGCTTAAGC